CATCATCACCATCATCATCCTCATCCTCAACATCATCATCATCATCATCAGCATCATCATCATCATCAGCATCAGTATCATCATCATCAGCATCATCATCATCAGCATCAGCAGCATCATCATCATCATCATCATCATCATGACCATCATCATCAGCATCAGCAGCAGCATCACCATCATCGTAAGCAGCAGCATCATCATCATCAACAGCAGCATCAGCATCATCATCATCATCATCAGTATCATCATGCTCATCATCATCGTCAGCATCATCATCATCATCATCATCATCACCATCATCATCATCATCATCAGCAGCAGCAGCAGCATCACCCTCCTCCCCCTCGATCATCGATCCGCGATCCTCACGCCTCAATCCTAATCCTCCTTCTCCTCCACCTCCTCATCCTCATCATCATCAACATCATCTCCCTCATCCGCCTCCCCCACCTCCTCCTCCTTCTCATCCTCCGCTTCATCCTCCTCATCAGCATCAGCATCATCAGCGTCATCATCAGCAGCATCAACAGCGTCATCATCAGCATCATCATCAACATCATCGTCCTCGTCATCATCATCAGCAGCATCATCATCATTATCAGCAGCAGCAGCCGCAACAGCATCATCGCCATTATCAGCATCGTCAGCAGCTGCATCAGCATCATCATCATCAGTATCATCATCAACAACATCAGCAGCATCGTCATCCGCATCAGCATCATCATCATCAGCAGCAGCAGCAGCAGCAGCCGCAACAGCATCATCACCGTTATCAGCATCGTCAGCAGCTGCATCAGCATCATCATCATCAGTATCGTCATCAACAGCATCAGCAGCATCGTCATCAGCATCATCATCATCATCAGCAGCAGCAGCAGCAGCCGCAACAGCATCATCACCATTATCAGCATCGTCAGCAGCTGCATCAGCATCATCGTCATCAGCATCATCATCAGCATCATCAGTAGCATCAGTATCAGCATATGCATCAGCATTAGCGTCATCATCAGCATCAACAACAACAGCATCCTCAGCAGCATCATCATCATCGTCATCATCATCAGCAGCATCAGCATCATCAGCAGCAGCATCCTGTTCCTCCTCATCATCCTCTTCCTCATCCGCCTCAGCCTCCTCCTCATCCTGCTCCTCCTCCTCCGCCTCGTCCTCCGCCTCGTCCTCTCCTCCTACCCCTCCCCCTCCCCCTCCTCCCCCTCCTGATCCTCCTCCTCCTCCTAATACCCCGCCTCCTCTTCCTCCTCCTCCTCCTCCTCCTCCTCCTCTCCAACTCCTCCTCCTCCTCCTCCATCTCCTCCTCTTCCTCCTCCTCCTCCTACTCCTCCTCATCCGCCTCCTCTTCCTCATTCTCTCCTCCTCCTCCTCCTTTTTCCTCCTCCTACTCATCCTCCACATCATCCTCCTCCCCCTATTCCTCCGCCTCCTCCTCCTCCTCCTCCTCCTCCTCCTCCTCCTCCTCCTCCTCCTCCCCCTTCCGCCCCCTCCCCCTCTTCGATCCTCGATCCACAAGCCTCAGTCCTCTTCCTCCTCCTCCTCCTCCGCCGTTTCCTCCTCCACATCCTCACCCTCCTCCTCCTCCTCCTTCCCCTCATCCTCCTCCTCCTCCTCCTCCTCCTCATCCTCCCCTTCCTCCTCCTCATCGTCTTCTTCATCAGCATCATTGTCCTGCTTAGCCTCCCTAGTATTAGCATTCGTATTAGTGTCAGTCGTCGAATTAGGTGTTGGTCATGTTTAATGTTAGTGACGGTATTCGTATTAGTATGTTCAATGTCCTTCTTAGTGTGATCAATAGTGTTCGTACCTTAGGGTTACGAGTACTAATACCAGTCGTATCATGGTTCGTCGCGTCGATGGTAATATAAGTAATAGTTGTGTGATCAATAGTATTCACACTATTCGTCACAGTTTCATGTGTAATAGTATCGGCGTTAGCAGTGCTACTAGGTATTATCCTCGTCCGTAGTATTATTCGTTGTACTAGTAGTAGGTGTGTAAGTCGTCTGATTCGCCGTCTGGTTATTAGTATTACGTATCGCCGTAGTATTCTCCGCGCGAATAATGTTAGTAGTGCGAAGGCTGTGCTGTTACAATAGAATTCGTAATATTAATATGAGTGATACTATAGTGGTATGTGTGTTCGTCGCATTCGTCATAGTAGTATTAGCAGTCGTAATACGACTGTTATTAATGTAAGCCGCATGATGTTATGATTAGTAGTATTAGCAGCAGTCTGTGCCTGAGTAACCCTAGTAGTAGTATCATGTGTTGTCGCCGTCGCACGATTCGAATTACTAGTATTGGTACAAGAGTTAATGGTCGTATAAACTTTGCTAGTATCATCAGTACTATTACTATTCGTAGCATAAGAAATGGTATCACTAAGTTCGTTACCCGTAATAGTATGATGGTTCGCCTCTGTTTTCTCATGTTGTTGGTTGACTCGTCTTTTCCTCATCATAATAATTAGTTGTAGTATTATTAGTATTAATGATATCGTTACTCTTACCAGAGTTAGCACCAGTCTTTTTATTGTTATTACTGCTATTATTGAAAAGTGTGCTTACTAGCATGCATACTACTTCCTCTTATCATAATTATGATTATATTATTATGTGTCCTCTTCCTCTTTTCTGTTTCCTCTTCCTCCTCCCCTCCTCCTCCTCCTCCTCCTCCTCCTCCTCCTCCTCCTCCTCCCCCATCCTCCCCCTCCTTCTTCTCTGGAGCCTGCTGATAGGGAGCCGCCACCTCTGCACTCCCCCATTGGGTGCGACGACGACGACGTCCATATCCACCTCTCCCGCAGACATTTCAACACACTGCCCGAAGGCTGGGTGAGCTCCAAAAAGCCGTTTCCTGGCGTGTCGCTGACGGGTGGGGGGCCCGTCAGGGTGCGCGGGCACGAGCGGTGTCGCGCTCCGTCCCCGTCTCGGCCCGCAGCTTGGGACAACGAGGGCGACGACGACGACGACGACGACGACGACGACGGCGACGGCGGCGGCGGCGGCGAAAGCGACGGAGTGGAGTGACCAACATCGGAAAGAACGACGCTACAGCTGCCGCCGCAGCCTTCGTCGTCATCATGGTCGTCGCCATCTTTCCCGCCGTCGTCGCCGTCGTCGTCACCGTCGTCATGTCGTCGTCGATGTCCCCATCGTGGCCCCGTTCGACCACGTCGTCGTCGTCGGGGGGACGGGGTAGGCAGGACGGAGCGAGGAGGAGGGGAGGAACGGAGGGGGGGAGGGAGGGGGACGTGAGAGCAGAACGGGGGAGGCGAAGGAGGAGGGAGGAGGGACGAAGGGAGGACGGACACAAGGAGGGAGATGGGCAAACTAGGCGCGATCGCGCTATATTCTGACCTCCTACCCCTCGCACTCATCCCTTCCAACTGCGCTGAAATTGGAGGCAATATCGGTGCGCTCGCGCCGTACATGACAACATGTCTCCTCCTCCCCTTCGATACCATGGAACTGAACCCCCTCTTATTCGCAGAGCCGAATGTCGAAGAAGACATGGATCCTAGAAAGGCTACGTTTCCCTGAAACGGGAACGCCACTCTCGCTGATGCAGTAGCCGGTCAGCGCGACGGCGAGAGCGCCAATCACTGTGAAGGCAGTTGTGTGGAAACCTCGACACGTGGAAACCGCTGGCAGTGGAAGCCGCATTTCTGCCGATGCAAAAATAATTTTACCGCTGCGGCGACAGCGTCGTTCCGTTTAGCCCAAAAAATTCGCCGAGGAAGCCAAGGAGCCACGAGGTAAAGACGGGAAGCGCGGCGACCCCGTTAGCCGCGGCGGGTGTCACTGCTCAGGGGAAACCCCACTCGCGGATGACACTTGGCCTGAATATTAATAAGGGTGGTGGTCCTCCCCAGGCCACGTGACTTGAACTGACCCTTACATCGGGCGAGCAAGGAGTGCTGTCGAGGAGTTACCAGGACGTCTTAAACGATACATAAAAGACCTTCGGAGACCAATTGGTGCCCCCGGCAGATGGCAAAGCCCCCTGGAGACTTTGGAGCAGCTGCTCTGCTAGACACAGGAGCCACTGGGAACGATTCGCTGATAGCAGACGCAGTAACCGAAGGGGTCGCACTCGGAGACCAAGACCAAGGCCGACACCGCTCGGTCAGAGGGTCCACAAGACGCCACTACCCCCCCCCCGCCCGCAGGAGCCCGAGGAATCCGAGGTCTCGCAGCCGTAGAATGGCCCACCTCATCAAACGAACTCCGATAGCGCTTGGCCGCAACGAGGGCTGCAACCAAGGCCTCTTCACGGGCCACGAGGAGGAGGAGGAGGAGGAGCTGCTACGAGTAGCAGCTATATAAAAGAGGCAAAACGTTCTCTGCCGCAGGCCGCTGCCATGACAAGTTTCAAGAGGAATTGGCACGCAGGAAAATGATCATGTAATCCGAGGACACTGGGTCAGGCCATCAAGTAAGATAATAGCCATAGTAGACATACTGTATGCTGTGTCGCCAGGCTCCGCCCAATTGGCAGGAAAGCAACGTTCGCACTCGCACCAGCTGCCATCAGCCGAGAGGCAGCATCCAAAGCAAGCGCCCTTAGCGACGGCCGCTTCTGCAACTCCGAGAGCACAGCTCCGGTAACAGCGAACACACCGAGCAACGCAACATCCGCGTCGTCCAACTATTTCGCAGCTTGTGCAATACCAGACAGAAAGACCGTGGCGAGGGCCTCAGGCGTGGCCTCGAGAAAAGGAGAATTCGCGCAAAGAGCTGCGTCGATCATCTGTTGTTGCTCCAAGGCGGGCTCGATCACATGAGAACTCACCTTCTTCGTCTTCTTCTTGCGCCAAGTTTTCTCTCTTCCCCGAGGCTCCATCCGTAGCACCAGTCGCCACAGAGGGAAGAGAAGAAGACGATGTGCGAGCATTCCGCTCGAAAAGGGCTCCGCCACTGTGGGTTGACGCGTCAATATGGACACTGCCCCTGAAGGCTGACGTGCCAGCTACGAGTTTCGACTCCTGGTCTCCGCCATGGCGGGCTGACGTGTCAGAGCCGTCATGAGCGACATCGCCACTAAGGGCTGAGATGCCCGAGCCGACATGGGCGACACCGCCACCAACGGCGGGTGTCGGGGTCTGCAACTTCAACATCAACTGCGGGACGTGGCCCGTCGCCAATGTAGAAGATCTTCACCTATGGGGTGGCGACCGAAGGTTTATTACTTCTGCGGGCTGGGTCGGAGGTGTGGGCGGCGTCACGGGAGCAGGCGAGTGAGGAGGCCGCTAAATCTATCGCCGAAGGAGCGATTTCCACCTTGTCCGGCCCCGAATCCGCCGGCATTTCCTCCGTCTTGCGTCTTGCGCTGGGGGGTGCGCGCGTAGTCGTTCACGATGTAATTGCCACGCCTCTTCTGGGGCGCCGTTGGAGTAGTATTTTTCATAGGGTCACCCTGCGCCGCCGAAAACCTCGACGCATCCACCGCCATGGCCGTGCCAGGGGGCGAGACCGCCCTGTCCGCAGCAGCCTGGGGGGGGATACGCACTGGGATCCCCAGGCGGGGGGGGACAAGGTGAGATCACCTGAACCTTTACCTGCGGCTTCGCTTCGGAATGAACCTGGAAAGCCTTCTGCGCCTCTACTGCAAGGCGCAAGCACTCCCGACGCCAGAACTGCTGCACTGGCGCCGGCTCGGTCTGCTCCACCACTGTGGGCTGCTTGCTGCTCCTCCCCAATACGCTGCCAGGAGCCAGATGCCAGGGCGGCGGCGGTTGCGGGAGGCAAACCTTGCGCTGCGGTTCCGACATCGAAAAGAAAACCGTCCAGTGAGCCAAAAAGCGGTGCAAAGTCTGCAACGCGCGCCCCGAGGTCGCCGTTGACGAGGTGCGCCAGAACGTACAGACGCAGCCCGAGATCCTTTGATACCATTCACAAGTATCCTCCAGTGTTCACTGCCGCTCACCTGGCGGGAGCGCTGAAGCTAGCAGCACATGACAGTCAGCCCTGGGGAAAACGCGACAGTCAAAGATCCTGAAAAAGTCTCGGGCCCGAGCTTCAGCCAAAATGGCTGCGGAATCATACAACATTTGATAAGCAGGCAAGGCAGAGGCAGGAGGAGGGAGGAAAACGCCTCCCAACTCCCTCATCCCTCCCCTCCTCATCCCCTCAGCCCGGGCACCCTGGTCCGGGGGAGTGCGGCGAATGACCAGCGGGGGCGCTGACGGCGCCGCCGCGGGCTCCCCGCCGCCAGCCTCGCCCGCGCCCTCAAGCTTGAGGCGCAGTGTGAACTGGGGCGCGCCGATCCTCTTCCGCCTCCTCCTCCTCCTCCTCCTCCTCCTCCTCCTCCTCCTCCTCCCCCTCCCCTTCCTCCTCCGCCTCCTCCTCCTCCGCCTCCTCCTCCTCTTCCTCCTGCTTTTCCTCGATCATCGCCCTTGTGTTTCCGTTTCTTCTTTATATGAGTATTGATCATCTAATTCGTGTTCCCAAAGTATTACTCGTATGATTCGTCATACTCATCTGCTGAGTCGTATAAATATTGTAGATTGGAAGTGCTAGTTGTATTCTTTCTTTCTCGGTGGCGAACAGAGCTCCAGGAAGGTACCCCTAATGCTATCGATGGGAAGCGGGTGAAACATTGATAAGCACAGAGACCCAAGACAGCACGACGACAGCAAGAGAGCGCGGCAGCAACGAGGACAAGAGGGCAAGGAGACAAGGCAAAGACGAGGCAGCGAAGCGACAGCGGAACAACAACGAGGGGGGAGGAAGGCAAGGGGGGCAATCGAGAGCGGCGACGGCGAACGAGGCAGCGGCAACGGCAAAGACCTGAGGCCACTACAGTCTGTAATGGGCGCGGATCCAGGATCTGGCCTCCTTGAGCGCAAACTCGAGTCCCACAGCTTCGCCTAAGAAGGAATGCGCTGGAGGTTAGCACTTTGTTATTAATCATATTCGTCTTATTCGTATGATGCGTTTGAGTAGCATCATGCTTTCTCAGTGGCATTACTTTTGTTATTATCACATGAGTGCTTTTAGTATAGTATTACGTGTTATTAATATAGAATGCCGCATTGACAATAAGACTATTAGTAGTAGTAGTATGTTTCTGATTCGTATCAGTCGTAATGGTCTTCTTATTACCGTTCGTACAGATTTTGGTGTTGGAAAGAATGGACTCGTTATTACTATCAATAATAATGCTGTCTCTCCTTTCCTGGCATCTACTCCTATCATTGGTCATACTATTCTTTATCGCAGCATCCTTCATATACTGCATAGCATGAATGTGACTCGCAAGATTATGCTGATTCGTCGTACTATCTTCTTCCCATGAGTATCATCAGTACTAGAACTGCTGTTATTCTGCGTATGAGTATTACTCGTAGTTTTAAGCAGTTGGTTGTCAGTTCTCTTATCACTAGTATTCGTCGCATTGCTTTCCTACGTTTTATTCTACTTGCTATTCACATAAACATATATCTACAGCTTGATGGTCAGACTAGTCCTCAATATTCCTTTATGTATACGCGATTCACATAACTATGCGTATCAATTTCATTCGCATTGATTTATTAGTATGAATCCGAGTGATACTAGACAGTCCCATCATCTTAACACTCTAACTGATACCCTTCGTATAAATACTGTAAGTATTCGTGTTAGTGTTATTAATATTAGTAATGGCATTCGTTTGAAATGTTCTTGAAGATTTGTGCTATTCTCGTTATTCGTCATAGTGTCCTTCGAATTGCAAGTGTTCGTTTTCCTCGTCGCATGAAAATGTTACCTTGTCTCTTCGGTGTGCGTCTCAATGTTATGATCAGGGTTATTACCATCATTACTCTCGTGTTCATTCCTCTCCTCATTAGCCTCATCTTCCTCGATCATCCTCCTCTTCCTCCTTCTCCTCCTCCTCCTCCTCCTCATCATCATCATCTTCATCATCATCATCATCATCCTCATCATCCTCATCCTCATCCTCATCCTCATCCTCATCATCATCATCATCAGCATCATCATCATCATCATCATCATCATCATCATCATCATCATCATCATCATCATCATCATCATCATCATCATCTTCATTTTCTTCCTCTTCCTCTTCCTCTTCCTCCTCTTCCTCCTCCTCCTCGCCCTCCTCGATCCTCATCCTCTTCCCCCCCCTCGTCATCATCAACATCATCCTCGTCATCCTTCTCATCCTCATCCTTCCCTTTCTCCTCCTCGATGTTCCTCCTGCGGAGGCGGAGGCCCCGGGGGGCAGGTGGGCGTAAATTTGATGTCATCGCGAAATAAGATCGGATCGAAAACGGATCGGATCGTCGTCCCGGATCGAACCGCATTCGAACCACCACGCCCGACTCCAGCTGGCCCCAGTCGATGCATGTGAATCGACTCGAATCTAATCGACATTGTGGCCCCAATCAACGAATCGAATCGCGTCGAATCGGGCTGTAGGCGGCCCTGACAAGGGGTGGGCCCCCAGATCCTCGATCCTTCTCCCCTTCCTCCTGTTCCTCCTGCTCCTCCACCTCCTCCTCCTCCTCGTCCTCCTCCTCCTCCTCCTCCTCCTCCTCCTCCTCCTCATCCTCATCCTCATCCTCATCCTCATCCTCATATTCTTCCTCCTCCTCCTCCTCCTCCTCCGCTTCTTCCTTCTTTTCCTCGTCCTCCTGCTCTTCATCCTTCTCCTTCTCCTCCTTGCAACGTGCGCAATTGCCGTTACCAAATCTAACACCTAAGTGCTCCCCCAGGCCGTCTGGATGACGCAGCAGGCCCTGCCAAACGGCTTGAAATCACACTGTGCTTTCTGATTAGGATAACCCCTGTCGCGACGGCATTGTGCTCTCGCCGAATCTGCTACTCTAGCCTTGAGCCAAAATTGGCAGCGACACGCATGCTCTGCAGTGCAAGTCGTTGCATCTCTTAGAGACGCGCGAACGTGCCTGTAACACAATACGCACATGTAAATATACACATAAAGTTATGTAACGCAAAATAGCCATACGCACATCACCACGAACAGATTGCCACGGCAATATGGAGGGTTGGGCCCTTCCAAATCTGGCCACTCCTTGCTGGCACTCCACGCTGACGGCATCGACGGCTCGGTCGTAATCTTCCGCGGCGCTCTACGGAATCTCCGGCAAGCCTAGCACACGGGCGCCCGCGCGGAGATGCCCCCACCCCCATAGTACCCCACGGGCGCACCCCCAGCACCGCGCGGCTCGTCTGGCCTGAAACCTGGCGCGCCCCCAATATTCCGACGCGGCATCTCCGGAATGCCCGGCGCCCCCCGGCGAGAAGCCCCCCCGCGCACCCGCGCAACACGGCTCACGTTTTCTTATTCGGCATGTCTACATTGAGAAAAAGGGGGGGGCCTGGCTCCGGACCTCTGCGCAGCGCGACTGCTTGGAACAGCGCATCACTGGAAAGTCCGACGGGGGGCCGCCCACCCGCTTGGAACAAGTGCCCGAAACGGCCGCGATCTTCTCCGAAAGGGGGTGGGGGCGCAAGGCCCGCGCCGATCGGCAAAACAATGAATAAGAAAACGACGACATGACGGGCACCCATTGGGGTCGATAAGAAAGCGGTCAAGCTAGCGGCTCGTTCGAGAAGCCCGCCTCCCCTCCTGTAACCTCCCTGGCCCTGCAGCCACGTTCACTCGGATTCTCTCCACTCCCCAGTCGCGCCGTCGCGCCGAAGTGCGCGAACTCGACAGTTTCGGCCTCGGTGCTAGCCCGATGGGCCTCGAACTTCTGGCCCACCTTTCCGCAGTGGGCGAGTCCGTCTTCTCTGCTAATATTTCTATCCTGCGCTCAGGCCCAGTCCTGTTAGTCTCGCCGCGATGGCCTTGGGCCCTACAACTCCGGCCCCGACTGGGCCGAAGCCATCCTGTCCGGATCCGCACGCTAAACCATCGCACACCATGCATAGTCTTGCCAAGGCTTCAACCTCTCCCTGCCGGGTCGCCCCAAGCACTGCCCGGCACAGGCACCGACGCTCGAGCGCCTCGCGCCGGGCGCAGATCGTCCACCGACCACTCTCGATGGCAACCAGAAGGCCAGGCCACCCTGCGCCGGGCTCGGCCTGCTCTAATATTGTTACGCACGGCGGTGATAGGTCACGGTGTGCTCCGAGCATTTCTTCGGGCCCAACGTCTTCGAGCGCCATGGCCGCTTCTTCCGCCCCACCGCTTCTTTTCGCCATCGTCGACCCCACGAGCAGCGCGATCCATCCGGGCCGTCGCACAACTTACGGGAGAACAGCACGGAGCCCGAGGCGCCCCGCTCTTGGTTGCGAGCGTTCGCGCGTCGCGCACTGCCCCACGGCCTCGCCCAGACGCCCCCCCCCCCCCGCCCAGGACCCACCCCCGCATGGAATCCCGGGCCAGCCCAAAGCTCGACCCGAAGTCCTGCGCTTCTGCTGGGAGGGCATGGACCAGGTCGCAGGAAGCTGCGCCTGCCTGCGCTGCGGCCAGGCAGTCCGCGGGCGAAGATCGACACACTCAAAATCCACCCAGCCAATATACACTCACCTTCTCCAGCCGCCAGGCTGCACTGCCCACTGATCATCCGAAGCAGCTACCCTGACCGCGCCTCCGCTGTCGACCTTTCGCGATACCCATCGACGGCCCTCTCGGACTGGGAATCCCCCTGCAGCGGAAAGCCCGCCAGGCCTCCCAAATTTTCCACGAACATGACTACGGCGACATCGGAAGCCAACCGCGCGCACCCCCCCCCATAGGACGGGGCCCGAGCCCCCAGCGCCTCAGCTACGTCATCGCCAGCTACCCGGGGCGCCCCCGGCGCTTCCTCCAAGGCGCTCCTGCCCCCCAAGGGTCGGGCCCCGCGTCGGCGGCTCGCGAGCTCGCGACACTCGCCGAGCCTCTCTCGTCGCCACGCATGTCCCGCGCGAAACAGCGCCCGCATAGATACGTTCAACGCCCACGCGCGCATGACCCATCATGGCACCATTGACTGCTTAGTCGGGAAGTCAAACGCACGGTGCCCGTCGACGTCCATCAAGGATCTAAACTCGGTGATATTCGCAATCCTAGAAAGCTCGCTGGCTTCTCTGCACATGTGGGACCCAGGGTTAACTGCTTCAGACGGTTCGACGCCAACGCACTCGATCTTCGGCTCCACGTCTCAAGGCGAGAACAGCTCGGGCACTGCTCTCCAGGAATGCCACATCCAGCTTCCTCTTGCTCACGCACGGCCTTCTACATCCCGCCACGTGGATATGGCCCCGACACGGCCCGATCGCCTCCATCTCTGGAAGCTAAAACATCTCGAGTTCGATCAGCAGCGGCCGAGTCAATCCAAGGGCCGCAAAAGAATCCCCCTCGGCCGCCTCCGATAACGAGATGCGGCTTGGAGCGAGCGATCGACAGCCAGGAACGCGCTGCACAGCCCCGCATGAACATCCACAGTCAGCCGCCTGATGTTCTCAGATTGGACGCGGATTGCGCTCGCGCCCACGCGCGACCCCCACCACCACCACCACCACCACCACCACTCGTGCACTCGAAATGGCCCCTCGCCTTCGCAAACTAAGACCTCGAACGCGGGCGGGCAGCGGGGAGGCCCCCGGCACAGCGACCCCACCTCTCTCCGGATTGCATCCCCACCTCGGCCACGACGGAGAGCGTCTCTTTCGAGTGCACTTCTCGTTTCTTGGGCCCAGTCAAGACGCAATGCAACTGCGCGACCGCGCCCCGAGCTCCCGCCGTCTCGGGAGGGGGAGGCCGGCGGAGACAAGCCTCGGACTCGGCCACGCGAATCTCGCCATCAGGAATCCCGCGGCTTCGCCGGCAGCCCCCAGTCAACTTCGCCGCCTCGCCGACCCCGGCCGCGCGACACTCGGCCATCGCCGCTCGGTTCTCAAACTACCTTTCCTGATCCGCCGGAAGGTTTCGCAGAATGATGAACGCGACGCGCCCTCTCACCTCGCTCCACGCCAGCCCCTCGACGGCCGTCACTCGGAAGCTCGCTGCTCCGAAATCGATCCGCCCCCGCACTTCCAGACGATCTGGACCTGGCGCTCCTCCTCCTCCTTTTTCTTCTCGTTCGCGCGGGGCCCCCGAAGCAAACGCCACTTCCTCTTCGCTCTGAGCCCCCCGGGCCCGCCGCGCTCGCCCGCGCCATCCGCGCATCCACGAGCGTCTCCTTCACGGTGGCGCCGTCGCGATCTAAGTCCTGGCCTTCGTAGATCCTGCGCGAGGTCCGATTGTTCGTCACTCATATCTCCAGCCTACTTGCAACAGCATCGACTTCATCTTCTCCGTCGCGGCTATATAACTCGCGATATCCAGATCCTCTCTTGCAGCACAGCTTATATTGTCGTCGGTTCGCCGCGTTGCCTCTGGGCGGCCCTCCAGCCGCCGACATAATGGGACGTACTTTTCAAATTTTCGAAATCACGTTCCTCGCTGCCGCGTCGGTCGCTTTGCGATTAGTTCTGTCGCCCTCCCGACAGTTATCCCTGTACTGAGCAACCAAAACGCATCTCCCCGAACAGCCCCGACATCGGAACGACCATAGCCTGTAGCGCACGAACGAGAACTCATGCCCAATTCGCGACTCCTCTTCCCTCACTCGCTGATCTAGTTCCTTTCATCGCTGCGCGCCCCTGCTCGACTTCCGACTCAGTCAATTCCACAATCGCTTTCTTCTTTCCTAACCCGCTGCCGACTTCGGGGTTCTCGGGTTGTTCCACTGCCTTTCCCTCATGTCGCTCAACGGCCCACAGGTCCCCATCTTCATGATCCTCTGTCCGTCTTCGGGGCGGCCTTCGCGCTGACCCCCATCGCTACCTCATCGAGTTCTTTGTTCGCCCGCGGGCGCCTCCTCGCCAGCATCAGAGTCTACACCTTCGCTTCTGCCAGTCGGCCTCCGTGGAGGCAATCCGTCACCGCGTCCTTCGTCTGAGCGCACTCCTGCAGCGTCGCTTCTGTCCTACTCCATCGACGCCATTCGATTCGCCAAGAGCTCTACGAGATTTCCCTGAGCAGCCCCCACCTGCAACATGCGTGATCGCTCTTACCCATTCTAACACCTGAGAAATCACACCGAGCGTCCTGACTCAGAAACCCATGCCTCGAGGGCCTCGGTAGCACCCCGAGATACCCGTAACACGCGTTGCTTCTTCTAGCGGAATCGTCGAAATCGATATTCTTCTGCACCTTCCATAACAAGGCTCGCCGAATCCGCTACTCAGTCCTCGATCCATAACGGGCAGCGCCACGCACGCTACACAGTGCGAGTCGCTGCGTTCATCTGAAACACGCGGGCACGTGCCTACAACATGATAAGAGCATGCAACTCTGGGCATTAACGTATATAACACAGAATAGCCATACGACTGTCACTACTTGCGATCCCAAGACCGTAGATGTTCCATCCTCTTCCTCCTCTTCCTCCTCCTCCTTCTCATCCTCTTCCCCATCATCATCATCATCATCATCATCATCATCATCATCATCATCATCATCATCATCATCAGCAGCAGCAGCAGCAGCAGCAGCCGCATCATCATCAGTACCGGTCGTCATCATCATCATCATCATCAGCAGCATCATCATCAGCAGCATCATCAGCATCGATCATCATCATCACCACCACCACCATCATCATCATCATCATCATCAGCAGCATCAGCATCAGCATCAGCATCAGCATCATCATCTTCATCAGCATCATCATCAGCAGCATCAGCATCAGCATCATTATCATCATCATCATCATCATCATCATCATCATCATCACCATCATCACCGTCTTCATCATCATATTCAACATCATAAGCATCATCATCAGCATCAGCATCAGCATCATCATCAGCAGCATCATCATCGTTACCACCATCATCGTCATCCTCACCATTATCGTCATCCTCATCATCAGCATCAGTATCATCATCATCATCATCATCATCATCATCATCATCATCATCATCATCATCATCGTCATCATCATCATCATCGGTCCTCCTCCTCCTCCTCCTCCTCCTCGGGCATCGTCCTCCTCCTGCTCCTCTTTTTCCTCCTCCTCCTCCTCGATCATCTTCGATCCTCCTCGATCCTCCTCGGCCAGGGTCGGGCGTTGCCAAGGGTAGTCCTGGCGCAAGGTGCTCCCAGCTCTTCACGCCATCTCGGGGCCTCTGGGGTTCCCTGGGCCTTGTGAGGGGTGCTATGGAAACCACCTGCGGCTCCGTGGGGAAGCTGGGGTCACCATTGGTTCAGGTCGCTTCTGGCAACACCCGACAGCGGGGGAACGGGGGGGAGGGGCCCGAACCCTGTCACGCGGTGGAGACAAAACAAAGACGCTCAAACAAACGAAACATAAAACACGACAGCTACGGGACGTCTCTCGCCACGCGTGGCCTCTAGGGGCCCGGGCCCTGGACCGTCACACAATGCCCGGGACGATCCAAAAACAGCACGGAAGACGAAGCGCCTGCCCTGCGCAGGGTGTCGTACCCCCCCGGGGGGTCCACTTCGCGAAACCATCACGACGTCGGGGTCTGGGGAGGCTAGCCTGACGACGGGGACGGCGTCGGTTCGACTGCGTGCTGGGCGCTTCTGGAGGTTCTCGCCGTGTCGACGGCTTGGCGCAGCTCGAAAAGTTGGCCAGGATGGGCTCCAGAAAGGGTCAGAGGGGCAAACTTAAGCACGCCGATGGCCAAGGATACGAGTGTTTTGAGTTTTTCGCCGTCCGGGGACGAAGGAGGGACAGCGGCTGCAGCCACGGCGGCGTCGTCAGCGGCGAGAGAGTGGCGAGGAGCAGGGACGTGCGGTGACGATGACAGGGGACGAGGCACGCGGGAATGATTTTTGTCGGGGGGGCTCCACCTCAAGCAATTCCCTCAACCACCAACTCTATTAGCAACGCGCCGACCAAAAGAATGAGCACGCATGCAACGAATATGGAGCAGAAAGACCCTCGCCATCGCCGCACCGAGGGAGACAACAACGAGGCCGATGACGTCGAAGGCATGGCATGCGAGACAAGCCGACCGTTACCCAGTGGCCAGAACAGGCACGCGGGGGTGGAGAACTCGGGACGAGATCGGGCGAGTGACAGAGGTGGGAGCGGGGACGGGGACGGGGGCAGCGGGGGGGAAAAGAGAGAGGGGGGGGGGAGACCGCTGGCGAGAGGAAGGGGCACGGGGATACGGGAGCCGGGGGCGGAGAGGCAGAGGAGGGGGGGCAGGGGCGGGGGACGACGGGGAGGGCTGGAGCGGCGGAGTCCTCACCGGTCCTTCCTCTTTCACACTGCGATGTGCCAGGCTCTGTTCTCTACCACTGAAGAGCTTACAAGTGGTCTGTGCGCAGGCAGGAAAAACGAATGATCTGCCTCGGAAGAAGATAAAAGCATCCAACTCCGAGCTTGTGGGTGGGCTTGACACCTTATACCTCTCCCTTATCACTAAGGTTCTGTGTTTTAGAATCCGCCGATCCCTTGGGGATCATCGGCGTGTGAGATGCTTCCCCCTCCCCAAACCCCTCCCCCCAGAGCCCGGTCCTGTCGATTGGAGGGGGCGGGGGCCGTCTGGCCAGAGCTCACCTGGGGGGTCCGGCCCTTCCCGGGCCCTTTCTTGATGTCCACGACAGTTTCTGGGGCCGCCCAAGAGGCCCCCAAGACGGTCCAAGAGGGCCCCGACGCCCAGGATGGCCCCAAGATGGCCCCAGAAACCTCCCAGACGGCCCAGGAAGCCTCAAAGAGCATCCCCGAGAGGGGCCCAAGAGGCCGAAATTTAAGAATTCCGATAGGAAAACCTACATTTGTATCATGCCCGTTTTTTCGGCCTTCGCGGCGTTGAAAACGGCACCAGTCCCCCAAGACTGCCCCAAAACGGCCCGACAGGTTCCCAAGAGGCGCTCGAAACGGCCCAAGAGGGCGCCAAGACGGCCCAAGAAGCTCCCAAGACGGCCCAAGAGTGCCCCATGACGGCCCAATGAAGGGCCCAAGAAGAGCCTGAATCAACAACCCGAGCCTTCCGCCCCAAAACGGCACCAGGGGGGCCCAAGAGGCGCTCAACAGGGCCCATGGGGCCCCCAAGAGGCCCCCCAGAGGCCCCCCAAGAAGCCCCAAGAGGACCCCAAGAGGCCCCCCAAGAGGCCGCCAAGAAGCTCAAAATAAGCCCCAAGTACCACTTGAGGCATGTAACTTCTAACCCGCAGCCCAGGCACCAAGGATATCAGGCCGACAACCAAGGCACGGTGCGGCATGTGCCGAATGCAATTATACATATATATATATATATATATATGCACTGCCGCGGGCATGTACCTCGAACGAGAAGACAAAGAGGAAAAGGACGAGGAAGAGGAAGAGCAGGATCATGGAAAAAACAACAACAAAAAAAGAAGAAGAAGAAGAAGAAACAAAAAAAACGTCGTCGCCGCCGATGTCTCACAAATTTGCGTGGTCTTTCGACCACCCGAGGCATCTCCTCGAATTCAGCCTCCAGGAACCGTTTTCGGTGCCGGGGACCACCGCCGAAAGTCCGGGATGAGGATCGACCTCCCTGGCAGATGCCACCCCTTCGCAAAGGAAGGAACACGGGGTGGATCGAGGCTCGAGGCATGCGACTCCTAGTTCTTGGGCGCTCTCCGCCCCGTCTGGGCCTTCAGGAAGCTCCTCGTCGACACAGCTGGATCCACTCTCGAACTTCTGGCCAGACGCAACCCCAGCTGGGTCTCAACGATCCCCGAGCCTATCCAGGAGGTGGGCAAGGAGACCTGAGACAGGCCCCGTGAAGGCCCCAAGAAACTCACAGAAGACCACGAAAAAATTCATAACAATCCCCTACAAGGCCCCCCCTTGAACCCCACAGGCTACGTAGGACAGGCCGAAACCCCAAGATTGCCCAGCGATCGCGCGCGTTCTGCGAATTCTGTCTTTCACTCTTGCTGCCGCCCCGAGGAGTCGGCGGTGCGGCGTAAGCCAATGAATCCACGTCCGGACTGCAGCGAAGCGTCTCGGCAGTCCGACAGGAAGGGTGTGTGGCGCCAGGGCCCAGCCACGATACGTCAAGGAAGGCCAATTGCAAACATTGCATTCTCAGACATTGAAAAGCAACCCCCCTTAATCCCCCCCCAGGGCCGCCGCCGAGTCGCCGACCCGTTTCCGCGCACTTTGTGAAAACCTAGAAAAACGTATGGAACTCATTGATTTGGGCCTCTGGACCCTTCTCGGAGCCCACAAGGGGCGCCAAGACGGCTCAAGATGACTCAAGGCGGCCCAAGAGAGCCCCAAAACGGTCCCAAGACGACCCAAGATGGCTCCAAGAGCGCCCAAAAAGCTCCGAAGACGCCCCAAGAGGGCCCCAAGACGACCCCAAAGAACGCCTCCAGAGGCCAGAATCATTGATTTTCCTATGGTTTTGGGAAGAGTTTGGCGTTCTCGCCTTCCTCGACTCTGAGACACCAGTGACGGCCCAAGCAGCCTCCAAAATGGCCCAAAAAAGGCCGTAGAAACCCCCAAAAGGGCGCCAAGACGGCCCGTGAGGGCCCCAAGACGGCCCAAAAAGGCCCCCAAGACGGTCCAAGAGGCGCCTAAGACGGCCCAGAAAGACCCCAAGAGAGCCTCAAGGCGGTCGCGGGAGGCCCCCAAGACGATCTCCGAAGGGGCGACACGGCGCCAGAGCGCCCCAAGAGGCCCCAAAGAGGCCCCCAAGGGGCCCCAAAAAGTCCCCAAGAGGCCTCCAGGAAATCCCCAAGAAGCCTCCCAAAGGCTTCAAAGAAGCGTCCAAAAGGCCGCACAACGACTGGAGTGTATTCGTTTTTCTCCTAAAGAAGCCCCCAAGGGGCCCCAAGAAGTCCCCAAGAGGCCTCCAGGAAATCCCCAAGAAGCCCCCCAAAGGGCTCACAGAGGCGCCCAAAAGGCCGCACAACGTCTGGATTGTATTGCTTTTTTCTCCTGGGCGAACCACGGCGCAGCCCCTGTCACATGGAAATTGGTCACGGCGGCGCTCGATAACCCCAACCTGCCCGGAGGCAGGTCGGGCAGCGGAGCGGAAGCCCTAATGCAACGTATCCAATGCATCCACTCATTGCATAATTGCTACATATCGTATTATGTTGCATTGTTATGTCTCCCCCCTTCACCCCCTCGCAGCCACCCCTCATCCACCGACCCAGGGGTGGCGGACCTCTGCTGGACACATCCACTTTAGAAAAACATTGAAAATCAATGAGTTGGGCCTCCTGGGCCTCTGTCTCAGAGGCCGTGACGACGGCTCAAGATGGCCTCAATACAAACCAAGACGGCCCAAAGACGGCTCAAGATGGCCCCAAGAGGACCCCAGAAACGCTCAAGACGGCCCAAGACGGCCTCAGGGGGACCCCCAAAAGCGCCCCGGAGGCCAAAAAAATCGATATTCCATAGGGTTTTGAATGAATTTAGCGTTCTCGCCTTTTTCGCCTCTCAGAAACCCATGACGACTCAAGCACCCTCCAAAATGGCCCCAAAACGACCTCAGAAGCCCTCAGAAGGCCTCCACGACGGCCCAAGCGGGCCCTCAGACGGCCCAACTCAACTGGACCCCAACAAAGCCCCAAAACGGCCGCGAGGGACCCCCCGGACGGCCTCCGAATGGGCCACACGCCACAAGAGCGCCCCAAGACGGCCCAAGACGCCCCCAAGGCCCCAGGAAGCCCCCACCCAAGACACCTCCAAGAGGCCACAAAGAAGCTCCCAAAAGGCCCCGCAACTACTGGACTGTACGTGGTCCGGACGTGCACCCCCGCGAAGCGAGAGGAATCAGTTGGACACGCCTTTGTACGGATGGGGGCGTTGGGGGCGACTGGGACGATGAAGCCAATGGGGACGCTGAAGACGGTCGGGGAGCGTCCCTCCTCCCCTCCTCCCCTCCCTCCTTCATGCTCCCTCCCGCCTCCCCTCCTCCCTCCCTCCCCTCCCTTCCTCCCCTCCCTCCCTCCCTCCCTCCCATCCCTCTCCTCCTCCCTCCTCCCCTCCTCCCTCCTCCCCTCCTCCCTTCCCCCCCTCCCTCCTCCATACTAAGTCCTCTTTACTCCATCCACTTTCCTCACGGATAACGACTCCCTGTCGTACCACCGAAGGTGTCGGTAGTGCGGGCCAGGCGTTTCACCTGAGGCCTCCTCACAATATATGATCATGAAGCTTCGAAACTTCTAACAACTACAAGACTAGAGAGGGTGTGGCCTTCACAATGGGGTTATCGCACAGCGCCGAGCATATTTGTCTTGAAAGCTTGCACCAATTACAGAGATGGGGGGGTCTCACACTGCAGCTCTCGCCCGCCCTAGCGCCGCACACCCTCGTTTTAAAAACGTGCACTAATTGCAAGAACGGCGGAGGGTCGTTTTCTTCAATGGAGCTGATACCTCATCGCAGGGCACAGTCATCTTGACAGCTTGCGACAGTTACAAGGATGGAGGGCGGCTCCATGTTTAAGAAGGGATCTCGCCTTAGCGCCGCGCGCATTCGTCTAAAGCGCTTGGAACACTTACAGGGGTTGAGGGGGTGGTTTAAAACATTAGGCTATTGCCTTAACGCCGCGCGCACTCGCCTTAAACACTTGCAGCAGGTACAAGGATAGAGAGGAGCAGTTTCCAAAATGAAGCTCTCGCCATAGCGCTGCGCAGACTCGTCTTGAAAGCTTGCAGCAGCTCGAGGGATGGAGGACGGTTCCTTTCCAAAATATCAGACCAGGACATGAAGCCTGTGTAACAGCTATACGGATGACTAGCGGCTACATTTCAAAATGGGGCTCTTGTCTTAGACGTCCTCGAACTTGGTGGCCAAAAGCGCTGCCTCGTGCAGCGATTATACGGAGTGGGCGGTCGTGCTGCAAAACGGAGATCTCGCTGGGCACCTCGAGGAGCTCTTTGGTCATTACCTACCTCTCGGCAGCCCTTTTGCTGCACCCGCTGGAAGGTGCCGTGGAGCTTCCTTGCCCGAGCGCGGCTCTCGCCGCAATGGCAGGCCCGCGGGGCGGGCCCTCTGGGCGGGCGCTCCTCGAGAGGAGCGCCCGAGGGGACTCGCGAGGGGCCCCGGGAGCGGGAGCGTGCGCTGCAGCGCCGGTGCTGCAAGCTTGACAGGCCCGGAGGTCGACACCAACACCAAGATCGGCGGTGTGCCTCCACCGAGGGAAGGTGGTGATGGCGGTGGTATTCAGGCTGCCAAGGTGACCGGCATATTATCACCAACACCGCGATCTAGGATCATCTTCCCCCTGGGGAGGCAAACCCCTTGTGTTGGTGTTGGTGCCCATTTCCTGGCCTCCAAAAGTTGGATTTCACATTGTCTTCCACCCTCCTCCACCCCGCCCTCCTTCTCCGCGCTCCTCGCCCACTGGCGGGGAGGAGGGCGCTGTGGCCTGCAGGTCCGCCCACCGGTTCTGCAGCATGGACCTGGCCTGCGCCTGGCTGTAGTCGTTATAGGCCTCTTGCATCAAGTCCCTGAGGACCTCCCCAGGACCAGCCATGAGGAGAAACGCCAAGGGGATCCAGCTCAGGAGGGGAAACATCGACCTGGGATCAGCGACACATCGCCGATACATCGGCTGCAGGCCCCCGATAGCGAATCCGCAGCTTCCTGGGCGGGGTGGGCTATCGGGCCCCTGTCGGCGATGAATGGGCGCTTGGGGCCCCCTTAGCCCATCCCCGCCTAGCGTTGCCCCTAAAGTCAGTAGCGAATCGGAATGTGCGTGGATCGGGCTGCATCGGCACGGAGACAAAATCGAATCGGATCGGCTGCGCAAGGATGCACAGAATCGCCATGCAAACATCGGCTTGATCGGCAGAATATGGAAATAGAATCCGATCGAAGTGGCCGAAATCGATAACGAACCGGATCGATCCGATCGAAGTGGCCCTCCTCCTGTATCGCCAGGAACTGCTCACGCCCACTACACGGAAAAAAAAGTTGCTCCAACCAAGGATGAAAAGACACGACTCCGTCGTTCATTCAATGGACGCGCACCCGAACGGGCAGTATTTGAACGTCAAGGAAGCGGCAGGGGCTTTAGAATAAAGTTCTTTGATTTCGAAACGATTCGCAATCCCCTCCGACGAGGCCAATGTCAACATTTATATAAGGGGTGCGGAGGGGGGCGTCCCAGTACCTCTATAGACGGCCATTCCTTTAGCAACGGGCGGGCTTGCTTGTCTTTGCGCACCACCTCGCTCGCACTCTATTGACGCGGTCTCTCTGGGCGTTGATCTTGCAACGCGTCTCCGTGGCTGCCACTGTTACGAGTGTGGGAATCGTTGGCGTGCGTCCTCCGGTTCATCTGATCACGTATCGTTGCCATGGAGAGCTGGCAACCATATCCCCTTGATCTGTATACATCTTCGACATCAATCCATCAACATGCAGCGAGGCACTGAATGGAGTATGTGCTTCATACACCCGCCTTTCAAGAGAGCCCCAAAGAGGGCCCTCGAGGTCCAAGATGACCCCCGAGACCTCCAGCATGCCCTCAAGAGGCACCAAAGAAGTCCCCAGAGGCGCCCGAGAGACACCCAAGAGGCTCCAAAGAGGTTTACAAGAGGCCGCAGAGAGGACCCCCAGGAGGCGTCTAAGAGGCCTCTTGCCACGGACCAGGGGCGGTGGTGGAATGGGCCGAAGGTTACCATATGATAAGACAGTCCTGGTGATAATGTCCGATGCACTCTTGCCGCTCAAAGCCAAGATATCTCAAGAGCGCCCCGCAGCCACAATGTCAAAAAAAACCTGACGAAGAATCCAACCATATGCAGCTGAGTACCGCATTGTGGGTACCGCTTTCGGTGGAGCTCCCTGTGGAGCCACGAACCGCGTGAGGGGCGTGCCACAATAAGTGGCGGTCCCCGCATGCGGCCTGTGCCGCTGGGGCATTCGGTGGAGCTCCCTATGGGGCCACGAACCGTGTGAGGGGTGTGCCAAAATCGGTGGCGGTCCCCGCATGCGGCCTGTGCCACTGGGGCCTTCGGTGGAGCTCCCTGTGGGGCCACGAACCGTGGGAGGGGTGTGCACAAATGGGTGCTGTCCCCGCATGCGGCCTGTGCCACTGGGACCTTCGGTGGAGCTCCCTGTGGGGCCACGAATCGTCGGAAGGGTGTGCCAAAATGGGTGGCGGTCCCCGCATGCAGCCTGTGCCACTGTGGCCTTCGGTGGAGCTCCCTGTGGGGCCACGAACCGTGTGAGGGGCGTGCCAACATAAGTGGCGGTCCCCGCATGCGGCCTGTGCCGCTGGGGCCTTCGGTGGCGCTCCCTGTGGGGTCACGAACCGTGTGAGGGGTGTGCCAAAATGGGCGCGGTCCCCGCATGCGGCCTGTGCAACTGGGGCCTTCAGTGGAGCTCCCTGAGGGGCCACGAACCGTATGAGGGGTGTGCCAAAATGGGTGGCGGTCCCCGCATGCGGCCTGTGCCACTGGGGCCTTCAGTGGAGCTCCCTGTGGGGCCACGAACCGTGGGAGGGGTGTGCCAACATGGGTGCGGTCCCCGCATGCGGCCTTTGCCACTGGGGCCTTCGGTGGAGC